AAAAGAGACCACCAGTAATCAAAACTTTTCGCGATTTCAAATACGACGATCCTCAATCTTTCTTCGAGCTTATCTTGTTTTAAGAAATGATTCTATCAGATATTTCATTGATAGATAATGTAAACAACTAAGTAACTATCCGTACGGAAGTTATTAAAAGCAGCATTGATGCGCTGGCTCCCTACGTAACACGAACTATCAGACGTCCCCCTGCTCCATGGATAAATGATGACATCAAGAGAGCCATCAGCGATAGAAATAAAGCCCATCAAGCTCTTAAAAGTAACAGAAATGAGGCTGCCTTTCAGATAGATTACAAAGCAAAAAAGAAAAATGTAAAATTGCTAATTCAATGTGCAAAAAGAAATTACTTCAGAAATAAATTCACAGAATATAAGAACAACTCATCTAACTTACGAACAAACAATTGCTTCTACATCAAATCACAGATCGGGCAAGGATTACAACTATTTTTTCAGACCACAACCAGTGGACGTACAAACAATTATCTCAGTAACAAAACACCTTCGCGAAACAAATGCTATAGGATCAGACAGCATTGCTTTGCGCTTTATCAGAGATAATCTACCCACAACTGTACATTATTTGACGGTCATTATTAACACCTCTCTGGTCACTGGTGTCTTTCCATCGCTGTGGAACCATGGTATGGTTGCACCAATTTTCAAGTCGGGGATATAGATATAATTATCACCCTATTACTATACTCCCAATAATATCCAATGTTCTTGAACAAAAATGTAGCAAATCACTTGACGAGTTTCCTGGAGGCCAATAACTTATTATCTAAAACACAACATAGTTTTAGAAATACATTATCTACTGAAACAGCTTTACTGCAAATTCCTGAGATTTAGAATGACACAGACAAAAATCAGGTAAATTTGCTCACATTAAGCGACCTTTCTAAGGCTTTTGGTAGTGTTAACTATGAAATTCTCCTTAACAAATTAGTAAATCATCAAATTGATACCTTTTGGTTTAAAAGTTATTTATATACAAGGACCCAATCGGTAAGAATGAATAATGGTATGTCATCAAAACAAGGAGTACAGTTTGGTGTTCCGCAAGGATCTATTTTAGGTCCGATCCAAATTTACAATTTTCATAAATGATTTATCAACAATAGCCCATAACTGCCGATGATTTACAGTTTCTTCACAGTAACTCAGTAAACAACTTAAATACATTAATAAGAAACACGCAAGATACTCTAACACAAGCAAAATTATATTTTAACACTAATAGCCTTAAACTAAATCCACATAAAACTCAATGTATGTTCATAGGTAGTCGGCAGAACATAGCTAAAATTCCCAGTGACATAACCATAGAATTTTAAGGCTCCTCTATCAAACCGAGCACTTCAGCGAATAATGTAGGAGTACACTTAGACAGATTCATGGCATTTGAACCACACGTTGACAAAATACACAGGAAAGTAGTGGGACCCTGGTATATCTTAATCACATACGAAATCAGATAACTACTGAAACTAGAATCGTGGTTTTACAAACATTTGGGGTTCGATTAACAAAACCCACATGCAAAAAGTGCAAAAAATACAACATTTTGCTGCTAGAGCAGCATTAGGTAATATCAGTAAACTTGATCACATCCCCCCGCATATCAAAAATTAAAATGGTTAAAAGTTCACTCTAAATGCAGCTATAACACATGTGTATTAATTTACAAACTCATTCATGGGAATTATCCGAAATGTTAATGCCCTTGCAAACCGTAGGGAGTACATCAGGTGTCCAGACACGTCAAGTAAAAACCCTTTTATGTCAAGAAATCGAATACCTATACAGGGGCACGGCAAATGGAAATACGTGAACCCAAGTTATGGAACATGCTACCAGAGATATTAACAGCTTCTGTATTTTTAAACAAAATTAAAAGAACACCTCTTAAATATTTAAATGTAAATATAAATTTATTTTTGTAGAGAATAACCAATGTAATTTAATGAGATAAAGTGTTTTGTCTTTGACTTTGACATATATTGGAACACAAGCAATGACAACAATTTTAGTGGTATAATAAAGAAACAATAGGGATCTGGGAGTCACATACCGCGTAGGTATGAAAAGATTCCTTAATTCGAGCAACTAAACAATCTTTTAAATGGAATTTGATTTTGTTAAATTCCGGTGCAAATGTTTAAATGCTTTCTGTATTTATTTGTACTAACTTCGCACTGTAAGGTGCAAGAAACGAACACAATTTGAAGTTCTATTATAATGGATGTGAATTTATCAACGCGCATTTACAAGCGGCATAAAATGAATATAGAAAATCCTATTTGTCACATACAGCCCACGCTTCACGACACTTAGTACAGGGAAAATATTTTCTTTAGAGAAAATAAAATCGGACAAAAAGACAATACTGTGAAACATTCCAAAGACAGTACACATAAGTACACTGAGAGGAATCTTTTGTGTTCTTTGGTTGCAGGATTGTGCAAGTCTGA